TGCTCAGTACAGCTCTGTATATCCCAATACCTCCCAGCACTGCCCAGTACAGCCCAGTACAGCCCAGCACTGCTCAGTACAGCCCAGTACATCCCAGTATAGCCCAGCACTGCTCAGTACAGCCCAGTACAGCCCAGTATAGCCCAGTACAGCCCAGCACTGCTCAATACAGCCCAGCACACCCCAGGACAGCCCAGGACAGCCCAGGACAGCCCAGCACACCCCAGTACAGCCCAGTACACCCCAGCACACCCCAGCACACCCCAGTACACCCCAGCACACCCCAGTACAGCCCAGCACAGCGATGCTGCAACGTGCACAGAGTTAGAAACTCGACCGCCAGCTGCAAACCCACTGGATTCCCTCCTTCCCATGGGAACAGGGCGGGAAGGAGCCGGGATGCTCCTCCAGCTGCCTCTTTGAAACAGTGACAGACAAGCCCAGAGAACGCCGTTTTCTGAGCCCCAGTGCCCTCCATCTGCCAGCGCCGGGGGACACTGAATTATTCATGACGCTGCGCCAAAATAATCCCGTCTAAAAATAACTCCAAAGGCGCCCAGAGCACTTTTAACCCCGAGCAGTATTTTTGTCTCCCGGCTGTGACACAGCAAAGCCCTAAAAATCAGTGGTTCCCGCCCGCCCACTGCTCTGGAACTCCCGTGCTGTGGGAGCGCAGGGAGGGGGATTTTTTTCACCCTTTCAAGCCTCATGTTTGGAGTTCGGAGGAGAAGCGGAGCTGCACATCTCGGCTGTCCAAGCAGAGGGCACTGCTGGCTCAGGATTCGAGCCGGGGCTCAGGGGTTTAAGTCAATCCTAAAGTCCTGCTGGCACAGCAAACCTCTGCCTCAGTAGATATCGCTGCAGCAGCAGCTGAGAAACAAAAACCACCTTTCCACTTAATCCCCCTGATTGAAACAGGTCCCCAAAATACCAGGAGTAACAGGTTAAAAATGGTGATAAACCCCAGCTGAAGAGAACGGTGACACAGAGCACCAGGGAAGGGCTGGCTCGGCTCAAAATGCATAAAATGGGGAGGGGAAAGGAGATAAATAGAGATAAATCGAGCCCAGGAGGTACCAGCCTGCCCCATTTTGGGGGGCTCAGCCTCGTGACCCTGCTGCTTGCACTTGTCCCATCCCCCTGTCCTTCCACCCTGCCCGTCCCCGGCAGGGACGTGGCTCCATCCCAGAGCCACAAAGTGGGTTCTCCATGAAAACTTCCGCAAGTTTAATTTCATATTTTCATATTTTTATATTTCCATCCCGCGGATTCTGAAACAAAGCACCTTTTCCTGCTTTCCCACCCCCTTCCCCCTCATGATTATTAGGAAGCCTTGGAGAGGGAATCTGCTCCCCTCACCCTCCAGAGTTCACTCTCTGCCACCACTTCCATTTTCTCTGCCTTTTGTTTTGTTCCGCTGATGAAAAAGGGCAGAAAGCAGCCGGGGAAAAAGCAGAGGATGCAGAAAACCCTTTTAAGTTTAGTTTCAGCTGCATCAAAGCATTCACAAACTCCTTAGAGGTGCCTGTACGTGTGCTCCGTGCTCGCAACACCTCCTGCGTCCACCTCTCTCATTACTCCCTTTATTCCCATTATATCCCAATTATTCCCGGAGTAAATATTCTCATTATTCGAGCCCTTTAAAAACACTTTAAGAACAAAACCTCCCGGCAGGACAGGAGCGCTGGAGGGAGGGTTGGCTGTCCCATGATGCCCCTGGCAGGCAGAGTCGGGTTTCCAGGGCTTCGGATGCTCGTCCGACATCTCATCGGGATCTTGATGCATCCCAGAAATCAGATACCCACAGAAATCCCTCCGTTCAACCCCGCCGGTGGCTGGGAGCAGCTTTCTCCTGATTTCCCCTAACCCGGTTAGGAGGAGCAGTAATGTCCCTGCGGAGCCGTAACCGCATTAACTCCCCGCTCCCAGAGCAGCCGGGGGTTGATGGATCCTCTCCGTCTCCATCCCGGGAATTCCCAAGAGGCAGCTCCAAACGTGTCCACCCCCAGCCCCCCAGGAAGGGCCTGAGCCCTCCTGGATGCCCGGGAAAGCTCCTGGACATGGGACAGGGAGCAGAGCTGGGGCTCCGGGCAGCAGATTTTGGCAGGGGAGAAGCTGTGGAGGCGATTTAGGAGCCTCTTCCCAGCCTCTGGATGCTTCCCAGGCTGCTCTGCCAGCAAGGGAGGGCTGGGGGAGACCCAGGATGGTCACTGATCTGAATTAATTATTTAATTTTATCCATTAATAATGTTATTAATTCATTAATAATTTTATCAGTCACTACCTGTAATATAATATATTATAATATATTATAATGTTATAATATATTATAATATGTTATAATATATTATAATATGTTATTATATACTATTATATATTATTATATATTATTATATATCATTGTATTGTTGTATTTTATTCTTATATTAAAATAGAAAATGATTTTATTAATTCATTCATAATTTTATTAGTCACTACCTGTTACATAATATATTACCATATATTATTATATATCATCGTATTGTTATATTTATTCTTATATTAAAATACAAAATATAATTAATAAAATAAAAAATATATATGATACTATAAATAAATTATATACAATGCTATATATAATAATTAATGATAAATGTAATTAATAGAAAATAACCAATTAAAGACTCGAAATTAATAAACTGCTTTAATCCTGCCCCGCTCCCAGCTGCAAAAATCCATTTCCCTTCACTCCCCGACTCAACCCACCCCGCGCTGCTCCCTCCGCAGGTCCTGAGAGCCAAATCCAACCTCGCCATTAATCTCGGAGTCATTAGGGGAGGATAAAGGTACTTACCCCAATTCCTTCCTGCTCGTCTCGATCCCAGCCAAGCATTTCGCCTCGGCGCCGCCGCCTCCCGCCAGCGACGAGGTGTAAAGTTACCGCCTGTTTTCTGCTGCCTTTCGGTGCTTCCAGCCCCCAACGAGCCATTTAGACGTGGCAATGAATCCAGCCGGGAATTGGGAAGGCGCTGGGCGGGTGGGACAAAGCCCCGGGCTGGTAACTTAATTATACAATAATACCCTAAGTAATCAGACCTAATAATATGTAGAAAATAATATAAGTAACATGCCAAAATACTTAAAATAAAATAATTATTATTATAAATAACAATACCCTCCAAACAGCCCAATTAACCCTTTAGTCCTTTTTGAAGGACTTCACTTGAAGGAAAACTTGAATTCCAGTGCTGCGATTCCTGACCCTGTGCTGGAGAGTCCTCCTGGCATTTACTCCTTCATTTGGGGCTCAATTTTTCGCACTTGGGGGAGAAGGGAAACCCCCAACCCGGACTTTGCAGGGTTTTTGTCGTGTAGGATCATTTCAGGCCGTGGTTTGTCGGGAAGGGAACTGCCCGGGAACCCTGGGAAGGGTTGGGGCTGCTTTCATGAGCTACAGTGTCTCTCCTCCGCTGGATGAGGAATTTTGGGGTCTGGCAAGCAAGTGCAACAATCCAAAAAAGGCAAAAAAAGCCATCTGAGAGGAGAGTGAGTGCTCTGCACAGGGAAGAACCCCCGGAGCAGGGCCTGGGCTTTTATCCCCCCGAAGGGATCCAGCAGATGCTGAAGGGATGTTGCACCAAGAGCCCACAAATTCATCCCCTCCCAGGGAGGTGGGTTCGGTGTTTCCCACGCTGTGTTCAGTCATAATTCCCACTTTATGCTGGAGAACAGGAATCGTGGAATCGTGGAAAGGGACCTTAAAGGCCACCCCGTGTGCAGGGATGGCTCGTGGGGGTAAGTGGGACTAAAATCAGGGAGTACAGGGGCTGGGAATGAACCCGGGTGTTCCACAGGAATCAGGGTCGACCTGAGGGGCTCTGAACCACAGAATCACAGAGTTACTAAGCTTGGAAAAGACCTTTGAGACCATCGAGTCCAACCTGTGACCCGACCCCACCTTGTCACCCAGACCACGGCACAGATCCAGGCTCTGCTTAAACCCCTCCAGGGACGGGGATTCCACCCCCTCCCTGGGCAGCCCATTCCAAGGTCTGATCGCCCCCTTTGTGACGAGTTTCTTCCTAAAAGCAGAGCTTCTGGGCCCTTTTTGTGGCCGAGCCACTGTATTTATTTTCCCTGCCGTCCCAGCCCCTCACTTCCTCGCCTGCATTTGGGTGGTTTATTTATTCAGCCCCCCCTCCCAGCCCGGTTTGGCCGTTCCGGTGCTGCGGGAGATACCGACCCAGCCCAGACACAAACGAGCCCCGGCTCTGTCAGGGCTGTCAGCAAACACCAGCGCCTGAGGCCGGCCAGGAATTTTAATTGAAATCACCGGTCCCCGGGCTCAGATAAGGCCCGGCATCACCCCACGGGGGACCACGAGCCCACCCCGCGCCCCAAACTCGCGCGGGGTGCCCTGGCCCCCCTCCATGCCCTGGCACGGGTGTGCCGGCTCGGTGCCCGCCCGCCGAGGCTGCACTGGGACATCCTGGGAGGGAACTGGGAGGGAACTGGGGCCCGGAGCTGCCCCCGCATCGCGAGGGCTCCTCCGACATCCCCCCACCGCCCGCAGGAGCTTGGTGGTCTGCGCTCCTTATCAGCCCTTATCTCCCGAAGCCGCTCGCTAATGTGACCTTAATGGAGCTAAATCGACTCGATTTGTTTTATTGCGGCTTAGCCCAAACCCCAACAGCCCTTTCCAACCCCCCAACCCACCCACCCACCCCCCCTTCCCGCTTCCCTTGTTTTGGAAACACGGAGGGAAGGGGCTGCTCCTTCCTCGGAGCTCAAGGGGGGCAGCGTGTGGGGAGCCGGAGCATCCCGGGCTGCAGGGAGAGCCCTCCGGGGGACTGTCCCTCCTTTCCCTTCTCCCTGCGAACCCCGGAGACCCCCCCGAGCCCGGTGGGCCGGCGGGGGCCGGGGGTGGTGCCCGGCCCGGCGGCTGCGGGAGGGTCCGAGGCGGGAGCGGGGCTGGGAGCGCTCGGTGGCTCCGGCACCCCCGCACCCCCCGGCCACGGGAGATGCTGCCCACTCCCTTCTCGGTGAAGGACATCCTCAACCTGGAGCGGCCGGAGGCTGCCGGGGGCCCCCGCGCCCCCTCCGGACCCCGCAGCGCCCGCAGCCCCGACGGGGAGGACGAGCCGCGTGAGTGACCCTCGAGGCCGGGGGGGGGGGGGCGGCGGGGCGGGGGGGACCCCGCTAAACAGAGGGACAGAGGGACCGGGGGGACCCCACGGAGCTGCTTTCGTTCTCCTGGAGCGGAAAACCGAGAGCGGCGGAGCCGCTCGTTGCATCCTCCCGCCGCTCCCGGTGGTCCCCGTTGCGGACCACGGCCAGTTTCCTCATTTTTCCCCTTTTTTCTCCCTTTTTCCCCTTTTTTCCCCTGTGATATGTTTGGGGGGGGGGGGGGGTTAGGGTATTTTCGGGGCATCCCGGTGAGCTCCGGTGCCCCAGCGCATCCCCCCTGCGCTCCCGGCGCTCCGGCTGCCCCGGGGGAACGGAGCGGCCCGGGAGGTGGATACAGCTGGGAGAGGGTGGATATAGGATAGAACTGGGGCTTTTTCTGCCCCAAATCGCCCACCGCCACCGTTTCCGATGACAAAACTCCCCGTGTCGAAGCTCCGTGGATTGTCCCCGCTGGGGATCCCGAGGCGCTCCCGGGGATGCTCCGGAGCGGTCCCCGAGGGGGGAACGGGCGTGTTCCCGCTTCTCCCCGCTGCCGAAATCCCGCAAAGCTTCCTTCGCTCGCGTTTCCCCAATTCCCGGCGGCTGCGGAGCGGAGGAACGGGGAAACCAGTAGGAGCAGAGCGCGAGCACTGGGCGGCACTGGGATCCAGTGGGAGAGAGCGGGAGAGGGCGAGAGGAGCCCGGGGTGGGCTCTGTCCGCTCCGCACCTGCATTCAGAGCCCTCCGACATCCCATTTCCCCGCAGAATCCCCTGGAATTCCCGGAGGAATGCTGTGCCAGCCGGGGAACCCGAAAGCATCCCAAGAGCCGGGAAGCGGCTGCCGGGAATGATCCCGGCTGCTGGGAATGATTCCGGCTGCTGGGAATGATCCCGATTTCTGGGAATGATCCCGGTAGCTGGGAAGGATCCCGGCAGTTGGGAAGGATCCCGGCTGCTGGGAGTGATCCCGGCTGCTGGGAAGGATCCCGGGTGCTCCCGTGCCACGCGAAATCCCAGTAAATCCAAAAAAACCGGACTCCTTGGCGTCTTCACTCAGAGTCAACAGTTTTTCCTCCTTCATTCGCAGCCTCCTCGGTTTTTTGGTTTTGCTGGAATTCGCAGGGATGTGGGATCCCCCTTTCCCTGGGTCCTGGAGGTCTGGTTTCCATCCCTCCTGTGCCCCACTTTCCCTGTGCTCCTCAGGCTGGAGCTGCCCAGGGTGGCAGTCCCAAAATACCCCAGGCATCCTTAGGAGGCACCAAAAGCAGCCGTTATCCAGAATTAATAGAACAGCCTAATTCTATCCAAAAAAAAAGGGGGGGGAATTTCCTTAAATTCCCGTTAAACATCTCAGGAAAGTTCATATTAATTTATCAACTATCAGCCTTAAATTTATTAACTTATCAATTTATTGATTTATCAACTGTCAGCCTTAAATTTACCGACTACCAGCCTTCAATTTATTAATCTCTTAATTTATCAACTATCAGCCTTCAATTTATTAACTTATCAATTTATCGATTTGTCAACTATCAGCCTTAAATTTATCGACTACCAGCCTTCAATTTATTAATTTATTAATTTATAAACTATCAGCCTTCAATTTATTAATTTCCTAATTCATCGACTATCAGCCTTAAATTTATCGACTACCAGCCTTAAATTTATTAATTTATAAACTCTCAGCCTTCAATTTATTAATTTATTAATTTATAAACTCTCAGCCTTAAATGTATTAATTTCTTCATTTATCACCTATCAACCTTAAATTTACCGACTACCAGCCTTCAATTTATTAATTTATTAACTTATTAACTTATTAATTTATTAATTTATAAACTCTCAGCCTTCAATTTATTAATTTCTTAATTTATCGACTATCAGCCTTAAATTTGTTAATTTATCCGTTTATCAGCCATCAGCCTTAAATTTATTGATTTATTAATTTATCACCTATATCAGCCCCGTTTCACCTTATTCCCAAGGGATGCCGTTCCCGGTTGAACGGGAACACGCTCTCCCACGGAACGGGGATGGATTTGGGTCTCACTTCGCCGCGTTTTTTGCTTCCCCGCAGGGAAATATTCGCTCACCTCTCCCTTGGAGGGGGAGGAGGAGAAGAAAAGCGCCTCCTGCCCCCCTCCCCGGCCGCGGCAGAGGAGGAAGCCGCGCGTTCTGTTCTCCCAGGCGCAGGTTTTCCAGCTGGAGCAGCGCTTCCAGCGGCAGAAATACCTGTCGGCGCCGGAGAGGGAGGAGCTGGCGCGGCTGCTCCAGCTCAGCCCCACGCAGGTGAAGATCTGGTTCCAGAACCGGCGCTACAAGAGCAAGAGGCAGCGGCAGGACAAATCCCTGGAATTGCGGATGCACCCCCTGCATCCCCCGCGCAGGGTGGCGGTGCCAGTGCTGGTCAGGGATGGCAAACCCTGCCTGGGGGGTTCCCGGCTTTACCCGGCCTTTGCCAGCCTGGCTGCCGGTCCTTATTCCTACGGATCCTGCTACGGCTCCTACGGGGTGGGATTTGGGGGGGGTTATCCCGGGGTGCCCCCCGGTGCCACCCCCGGGAGCGTGGGCATGGCCAGCCCTGCCCAGCTCCATCCCCCGGCACTGCGGGGGGGACTCAGGGCTGGCAGGTGGAGGTGAGGACGATCCAGGAGCCAAATCCAAAGGATTCCCGCCAGCCCCGGGCAGCGGGACAGCTCCAGCACCCTTTCAGCAGAGGGAAAAGCTTGGGAAAAACTCCCTGGAGAACCTCAGGAGAAGCTCCCTGGAAAACCTTGGGAAGAGCTCCCTGGAAAAGCTCGGGAGAGAAGGGGATGCTGCCACCCCAGCACTGAGACTTTGGGGAGCCGAGGACTGAGGGCATCATCTGTTATTTATTATTAAACACAGGAATTTGGAGTCTGGACCCTCCTAGCTCCCAGAGGATTTGCTCCTCCGGGATGCTCCATCAGGAGGGTGGGAACACCGGATTTCTTCCTAAGGACAACTGGAAAACACACGTCACTGTGATTTTTATGGACAGTATTGAACACTCTGAGTCCCTCTAATATTTTGAAATATATTTCTGATTTATATGTCTTAATATCTCCCAGCACAGGTGTCCATTTCTGTCTTTATTATTATTATTATTATTATTAATTATTTGCAAATAAAACCCCAGTTGGTAAAACGGTGTTTTTTCACTCTCGTCTTCCCCTCACTTTGCATTTTGAATTTTTCCATCCGTGGTTTTGGCACCTGAGCCTCAAAAACCTGACTCACATAAAAAAAATTAAACTTTAATCAAATACTAATAATTAATGCAGAAAGATAATCACCTTGTGGTCCAAGCTTGGGGAGCTCTGAAGGTTTAATCCCCTCCAAGGTTTATCCCTCTCCAAGGTTTATCCCTCTCCTTAACTCCTGACAAGTATTTTCAGCTCTCCTGGTTTTTCTTTACTGCTAAAATGGGTTTGAAGGTACATTATGGGGCAGTTCCCAGGATCCCACTGGGGGTTGGTGTCACCTGAATGATCCCAACACCATCCCTGAGCAACCAAGAGGTCCAGGATTCCTAAATCAGGATCCAGCATCAAATGCCTTGATTATATTTATATATTGATTATATTTATATAATATTTCTTATATATATTATTATTATATATAATATATATTATTATAATGTGTATTTATATGTCTATCCCTATTTGTTAAATTTATTAATAAATAGGGATAGACATTTATTAAATGCATTTAATAAATGTTGCTGTTATATATGAATATTAATAAATATTAATAAATATATTTATTAATAAATGTATTTATTAAATGCAGGGGATCTGGATGTCCCAGGGACACAGAGTCACCACCACACACCCCTGTCCCTGTTCCAGGCTGTTCCCCCCTCTTCCCACCTCATTCCCAACAACTTCTTATCCTCCCAAAAAGACTTGCAGGAGTCAATTAAGCTTTTATCTGTGATCCCACTCAGCCCCATCACTTCCCAAATGGGACATCCCTGACATCCAGATCAAACCAGAAAATCCCTCTCAGGGAGATAACTCCTCTTCCTGCTGCTCCCAGGCTTTGGAGCCCCTGGAAAGGCCGGGATCCTGCCCCTTCTCCTCCCCTTCATCCATCCACACTCACTCAGGGATATCTCCTGGAATCAGCTGAGTCTCAGGGCTCTGTCCCAGGGGAAGAATCCATGGGGTCCTCGCACTGGGAATTGCTGGAGGCACTGGGAAAAGCCCTGGCAAACGGCAGCATCCCAGTGCAGGGATGAGAGGTTTTCCTTGGAGCTTCAGCAGCAGAACGAGGCAAATCACAGGAAACTCCCCCAAATCAACAGAGAAATCGAGGAAGGAAATCGTTTCCCTCGCCAGCTCAGGATAAAAAGGGTTGGAAATGGGAATTATGAGTGCAGGGGGGGATAGTTGGGGCTGTCCTGTGCAGGGCCAGGAGCTGGACTCCAGGATCCTTTTGGATCCAACTAAACAACTCTGGACATTCTGGGAAGGCACCGTTTATTCCCCTCCATCGTGGTTTGGGAAATGATCAACTGGGATGAAAGGATCCCTCGGGAAGGAAAGGAATTCCCTGTGGGAAGAGAAGCCCTTCTGCTGGATCTGGAGCCCGGAATAGTCGTGGCTGGACAATGGGCTGAGTCCCTGTGGGTGGAGGGGAAGGGGCTCTGCGGTGGGAAAACTGTCCCCCAAATCCAGCAGGGACCCTTTGGAACCCCCCCCCCACCCCCAACAGCACCTTCCCCAACTCCTAATTCGCTCTCCAGAACCAAAATTTGGGGGTTGGAGAGTCACAATAAAACTCTTGGCCTCCAATTCCTCCCTAAATCTTCCCAAATTCCCATTCCCTGACTGAATTATTGAAGCTGCTGAGGTTTTCCAAGCATGCAGTGGATACAGGGGGATATTTTCCAGGTCAGCAGGTTAAAGAAGGAGGGGGGGGAAAGGGCAGGATAAAACAGAGTTTGGGACACGTTTGCACAACCTGCTCCAGGCTTTGGGCTGCTGTAACCAAACACCCTCCTATAAAATCAACAAAGTCCTCAGGGGATTGCAAGGAAATCTATTGTTTCCCTTTTTAAGGGTAAAAAAAAACCACGCCCAGGCTTTTCAGCTGAGGGGAAAAACTGGATTTGGGCAAAGGTTTTGGGAATAAAAGGGTTGATCAGTGCTCATTCCACCAGCAAAAGGAGTCTGGAGTCAACAGAGCTATGGGAGGTCACAATATATTGAGATATATTGAGATATTGAGATATGTTGATATATTCCAAACAGAAACTCTGGAAGAACAGCTACAAATAAAGTAGATCCTGAGGAAAATAATCTGTTTTAACACTCGTGGGTTTTCTCGGATGTGGGAAGGTTTTGCTCCCTTTGGGTGCCCAAGGCCTTGCAGGATGGGGTGTAAAAGGTACTGATGCTTCTTAAATTAACATTGTCCCATCCCACAGCTGGGCAAGGAATTAGGCTGAGCTTTAGGCTTAAACCTTCGTGTGAACCCTCAGCCCTTTTCCACGTGAGGATTTGCCTCTGGAGCTGCTCCCCCTCTGTGTTCCATCTTCTTCTTCAGCTTTGCAAAGCTGCTGAAAAGCTCTTTGATGTTTTCCCCCTGTTCTCCAACACACTGGAAATGCATCAGAGAAAAGAAAACCCCCTCCAAATAAACTAATAAACCACCCAACCCTTCCAGGTCTTCACTTTTCCCCCCTGAAAGTGACGTTTCCCCAAAGAGCTCAGGAATAGAAATCATTCCCATAAGGAGGAGGGAGCAGAGCTTTGTCTCTCTCCTCTCCCAAAAAACCTCAGTCTGGAAGCGTTTTGATCCCAAAACTCCCATCCTTCTCCTGGTCCTAAATGCCAGGGGGGTGATTTGTCAGCAGGGGAGGCTCTGGATCCCTGGAGAAGGATCCGCGTGCGGAGCAAGAGGGAGAAGCCAAGAGCCAAAAATGCGCCGGGAGCCAAGAGCCGAGGGAAGGGCGTAGACTCAGCCAGGGCTCTCCAATCAGCCCCGGGAGGCTTGGCTGCCTCCGGGATAAATCCAGAGCCGGGAGGGTGGGAAGGCAGCGAAGCTCCGGGCAGGGCCAGCGGGAGGAGGAGGAGGAGGAGGAGGAGGAGAAGGAAGATGAGCGCCGGGGCGCTCCCGGGAAGGAGGCACAGTTCCCCCAGCAGCGCCCCGGCAGCGATGAGCCGGAGCCCCCCGGCCCCCCAACAGCCCATCCCGGCCTCCTCCAGGCCCAGGACATCCTTCCTCATCCAAGACATCCTCTGGGATGGGGCGGAGCGCGGAGCGCGGCTGGAGAGGGGCAGGAGCAGAGGGTTTGGCAGCGCCGGGAATGGGGAGAGCGGAGCGGCCCCGGCCGAGGGGAGGGAGGGCGGCTCCAACCCCGGGAACCACCCCGGGAGCCCCCATCCCACGGGAGCATCCCACGCCACAGGGACAGCCCGGGAAGCGGACACAGGTAAGGGCGGGGAGCTCCTGGAGGAGGCGGCTGGCTGGGAATGGGGCAGGGAATGGATCGGGAATGGCTGTGATGAGGTCAGGGAATGGATCAGGAATGACTGTGATGAGGTCAGGGAATGGATCTGGAATGGCTGTGCTGGGGTCAGGGAATGGATCAGGAATGTCTCTGATGGGGTCAGGGAATGGATCGGGAATGGATTGGGAATGGATCAGGGAATGGATCAGGAATGTCTGTGCTGGGGTCAGGGAATGGATCAGGGAATGGATCAGGAATGTCTGTGCTGGGATCAGGAATGGATCGGGAATGTCTGTGCTGGGATCAGTGAATGGATCAGGAATGGCTGTGCCTGGGTCAGAGATTGGATAAGGAATGTCTGTGCTGGGATCAGGGAATGGATCAGGAATGTCTGTCCTTGGATAACGGAATGCATCAGGAATGTCTGTGCTGGGATCAGGGATTGGTTCAGGAATGTCTGTTCTGGGATCAGGGAATGGATCAGGAATGGCTGTGCTGGGATCAGGGAATGGATCAGGAATGGCTGTGCCTGGCTCAGCCCAGGGGCAGGATCCAGTCCCGGCTGCTGGATCAGACACACTTGGATCAAAGCCCCGGAGCATCCCAGCCCTGGCAGGGGGAGACAAGGGGGTTTAGGGTCTGTGTGAAAACCTTTCTCCAGGTGCCTCAAACAACTCCAAGGTCTGAACCGGCCTAAAATGACATTTTAAAACTCCCAGTCGATGCATTTCTACAATCCCTTGGGAAAGAAATTCCCTTTTAATGCAGAAGATCCCAGAAAAGGCGGAATGCAGATCCCAACATCCCAAAATATGAGTTTTTGTGTCTGGTGTCCCTGTCCCTGCTGCAACACGAGCCCATCCAGGGCTGGGGGGGTGGGACTCAGCCTTTCCCTGGGCTAAAACAGCCAAAAAAGCAATTTTGAACTCCCTGGTGAGCAGATCCTGCTCCCTCCAACAGCCCCTGCCAGGGGAATCTTGGCTTTGCATCTCAATTCTATTAAAAGAAGTTTCCTACATAAAAGCAAGTTCAGAGACAGGCCCTGGGCTGATTAATCAAAAAAAAAAATCACTCAAAGCCACCTCAAATCTCCCAGGAAGTGTGAATGAGCCCAGCTCTGGCATTCCAGGGGGACAACCAGGATTTACACCAGCT